ACGGAAACGAACGTTCGAGCAGCGTGTGTCCTGCCGTTAACTATAGCAATCACCAGCGAGATAACGCCTGTATCCTTGACTCTAAGCGCGCGCGCGTATCGCTGCGTGCGCCCCACGCGTTGCACCGCGTTGCACCGCGTTGCACCGCGCGCGTGTTGCGAATGTGAATGCCACCGAGTCCGCGAGTATGCGCGAGCGTATGCTCGTAGATTTTCGCGAGAACGAGAACAGAGAGATGGGACTCCGGGAGACCGACGGAATTATATCGTGACGCGCGATACGAAATTATAACGCTTCTTAATATGATGAGGCAACGTGTTTCGCGAACCCGGCGCAGGAGAAATGTCACGGTTCATAGCACCGTGGGCTCGGCGTTTTCTGTTTCCGCGCGTGCAAAATCGACCGTCGAGAAATGAAAACCGGCGAACATTTGCGCCACCCTCCCCCCCCGATTTACGCTCGAAGATCTCGCATCCTGTAAAAATGACACGAAAAACTGTGTTTCCTGGGCGAGGCGAGAAACTGTTTGCCAATGCGATTAGGCAGTATCTGGTTTTCGAAATAGTGTTATTTATTATACATGTACAAGTGTACGCAGTGCATAATTTGTAATAAAATCTGGGTCGACCAATCGCTGTGTCTTTAGTTTGTTTTCCGGCATAATTAACTTTATATTTATCGAATAAGACGTATTCAATTATTTTATTCTGTTTATTTTTGAATAACAGATTATACTATATATTATGGATAAGATAAATATATATTATGTATATTATAAATATGATGAATATATATTATAAATAGTATAAATATTATATTGTATATATTATAAATATAATATTATATTGTATATATTATAAATAGAATATTATATTATAAATATGACGTCAATTATGCTCGAAAACAAACCCCACAGATAATTGGTGACCCCACAGTAACCAAATTCACTATAACCTATTCACAGAATAGGGTACAGAAGGGTGCAACATAAGTTGTAACATGTAACTGTAATATTTCAAGTAATAATAACTGTTGGAAATAATTTAAGACATCTCGTGGACAGTGTTTTTGAACGAGGGTGGTGCAGGTCTGGGGAAAATAGATTTTTAAACTGATGAATGGACTGTAAATATTTGTATCTTCTCGTGTGATACAGAATGACGAATAAACATTTTTTAAAATATTAATTACACATGAATATTACGTTGAATAGATTTGAAAATACCATTTCCATATGTAATAATAGCTATAACCAATAATAGCTGTAACTAACCTATAATAACTAATACTAAAACCAACGTTGACATAACCTGTAACTAATAGCTATTTCAAGGAAAGTTTATTCGGCGAATACATGCTTTATTACATACGAGAACACACAAACTATTTCAAAAATCTATTTTCCCCCAGACCTGCACCCCGTCCTCGTTCGATACACCACCAACGATACGTCTACGAATTTTGTTCGTTCATATCATTGTATTTTATAACAAATATACATTTAGTTAGTTAGTTAAATAAATATTAAATATATATTTAGTTAGTTTAGTTAGACAGAAATTTAATTTCTCTGCAACGGAAGTAACAGCAACTGTAATTTTACAGTGCTCGTACCGCAATCGTGTCGCAGAACGACAGTCGGTCTGCGAGATTGTCAAAATCCGTCCGCTGAATTTGTTTATATTTTGATATAGCGACGAAAGCGATGCTGCGTCTCTATTCTTGAAACCGAGAAGCCATGATCGAGTACGGTGCAAGAACATTGATGAAATCACTGAAGAAAATGTCACGGTTTCTATATAAAGGGTGGTGTTTCTGAAAGAGTATATATGACGGCTCACACCGGGGACGTAACAAAGGTTGAAGTTAGCGAATTCGTGACATTTATGCTTATGACGTAATTTAGAGTTATTTAGTATAGATGCCGGACGCTCGGTCTTGGTGCATGGAATGAGGAAATAGTATGCCAACCATCATAGCGTACTCCTGCATCTGTTCGGCTTCGGTTCTCGCGCTATTCCGTACGTCTGTCGCGAATAAAAAAATGACGCTGGTGTGTAAATACATCGTAAGTTTTGTAGCTTCTCTCGATCGTTATCCAGAGGACAGTAAAACGCGAAGCAAAGACGATTTCGATACTACAGAATGTGCGATACGACGATTCTGCGAAACGTCGTTCTTCACGAGTTGCTGTCGATCACGAAAGTTATTTGACACGGGGGGAAACAAGAATTATGAATATTTTATAGATATTAGGTTATCTCTCGGTTCGAAGTAGACGTAAACTAGAAACAATTGCCACGGTTATATTACGATAAGTCGAATAACATTGATGTAACATCAATGCGAAGGGTACCATCGTCCAGAACTTGTCCAATTTTAATCAACGATTCAACGAATGTTCACAAAGCAGGTGCAAACTCTGTCTTTTTTAATTCCTGGTATTTTTCATACACTGATACGAAGATAATTTTATAATCTTGATAACAACAACATTATTATTATACTATTATAATACTATTATACTATTATAATATTTTAATATAGTAGTCTATACTAGTATAATTAATATATTATAATAGTATAATAGTGTAATTAATATATAATAGCTGTCTCTTATACACATCTAGATGTGTATAAGAGACAGCTATTATATATTAATTACACTATTATACTAATGTAATATATTAATTACACTATTATACTAATGTAATATATTAATTACACTATTATACTAATGTAATATATTAATTACACTATTATACTAATGTAATATATTAATTACACTATTATACTAATGTAATATATTAATTACACTATTATACTAATGTAATATATTAATTACACTATTATACTAATGTAATATATTAATTACACTATTATACTAATGTAATATATTAATTACACTATTATACTAATGTAATATATTAATTACACTATTATACTAATGTAATATATTAATTACACTATTATACTAATGTAATATATTAATTACACTATTATACTAATGTAATATATTAATTACACTATTATACTAATGTAATATATTAATTACACTATTATACTAATGTAATATATTAATTACACTATTATACTAATGTAATATATTAATTACACTATTATACTAATGTAATATATTAATTACACTATTATACTAATGTAATATATTAATTACACTATTATACTAATGTAATATATTAATTACACTATTATACTAATGTAATATATTAATTACACTATTATACTAATGTAATATATTAATTACACTATTATACTAATGTAATATATTAATTACACTATTATACTAATGTAATATATTAATTACACTATTATACTAATGTAATATATTAATTACACTATTATACTAATGTAATATATTAATTACACTATTATACTAATGTAATATATTAATTACACTATTATACTAATGTAATATATTAATTACACTATTATACTAATGTAATATATTAATTACACTATTATACTAATGTAATATATTAATTACACTATTATACTATTATAATATTTTAATATAGTAGTCTATACTAGTATAATTAATATATTATAATAGTATAATAGTGTAATTAATATATTATATTAGTATAATAGTGTAATTAATATATAATAGTATTATAATATAGTATAATAATATATTAATTACAGTAGAGTCTATACTAGTATAATTAATATATTATTAATATATTAATAATATTATTAGCATAAATAAATTTAGTATTAATTTTATGTTATTAAACATTTCAGAGAGCTGACTGAACTTTATGTTACATTCGTATTTTATAAAAAAAAAATTATATGAAGGTCATACCAGATCAGTTTTCATAAATAGCACAAATTAAACGGTGTGGCTCATAAAAATTCACAAATAAAAAATTGTAAGACATTATTTATTATTATATATATAATAAATTACAATTTATTAATTTATTTTCCAATGCCTTCCAATATAAATTAGTGCAATATAAATTATAGTTTTCCTTCAACGATCCCGGCATGACGAAGTTAATTACTAGAAGTTCACTGTATACTTGCATATAGACTTTTGCAGTCGCTCAGAATTGTGCAGAGAACAGAACGTTGCATATATTATCGCGAGAAACGCCAAACGACATTTCCGATAATCGGATACATTAATGTCGGACACGTGTAGAAAGGAACAACACAACGACAAGCGAATTATAAAGTGAAAATAGATTAGAGAGTGACGTAATCATCTTACTGATCAACGCGTCCCGTCAAACTATCGCGCGTCGGTTGAACGCGTTGAGCAACGTCGCCGTCGCTTTTTGTTCGGCGTGCCATCCAAAAACTGGCGTAGGTCAGTTTCAGGCATCCGGGCACACCAAAACACAGTGACTCACGACGAAATTTCGTACACGCGTTTCCAGATAGCACACGATTCGATCGATTTAAACCGCCGCGGACATCGTTTTGCATACGTCTGCGAGCCACGAGAGAGAGTTCACGCCTGAGAACTCGTTCCATCCTCGAATCGATCGTTTTTAGAGAGATTCGAATTTATGGACATCTGGATAAAACGCTTAAAAATCCGAATAATTCGCCGCCTCCGTTATCGTTCGATCGGCGAAACAACTCGTGGAACGATTCGGCGCCGCGTTCGACGCGCCAGGGATCGAGTCTGCGGCGTTCGATAACCGTTCGAAGCTTCTTCGCGAGTGCAAGAAGCTCGCGTTCGAACGGGACGAAGTCGCGAGAACCGATTGAAAAAAATTCGGTTGAAACGATTCCGACTTTTATCGCCGTATTTCGCTCGATCGGCGGCAAGAAAATGTGTCCGGCGACTTGAAACGCGCGCCTTTTCTCGTCGAAGATCGCGTAAAAAGTGAAAGTTCCACGTCCCCCTGGCTCCCTGCCGGCGGTGGTATCGGTGGAATCGGAGCCGATTGATGTGCGAAACCAGGCGAAACCAGGCGGGCACACGCGTCGTTAGAACGGGCGGACATGCAAATCTCGCTACTCACCAGGAGGAAAAATACTGTGCTCGTGGCGGTCGCTTCGAACGATATTCCGCACGCCATTTCTCGCGATCGAACACCACCAGGCTCTCTCTTCTCCTCCTCTACCAGACCATCCTGGGACTCTCGTCAGCGATGCATGCGGCTCCCGGGCTTCGTCCTGCTCCCCTTCGATCAAACCCGAATCACTTTTCCACCATGAAAACCACCACGAATACTCGAGAAACCCTCTCTCTCTGTTTCTATCCTCGATCGCGGTAGCTCGCGCGCGCGGAGCGAGCTCGCAAGAGGTCCTCTCGAGAGCTCGTAAGAGGCGATCCTTCGCACGGCCGGCGATCCTTAAAAATCCTGCGATCGCGATCCGGGAGACACCGGAGGTGGTGGCTCGTGACTTCGGCGGCTTCCTTCGGCGACCGATTGGCCCAGGTTAGATTCGAACGGGACCGTTTCGTTTCGATCGGCCGACACTCCGTCTCTCCCTTTCGCTGACCACCGTCCGATCACCGACAGGCCCGATCTCCTTTGGCGGACACCGCTGCTAGATCGATAATCCCTCGATCGACCGCGATTCCGCGTTATTTCGCTGTCGTGGATCGCGCGGCTTGCTCGAAGACGTGGCGAGGACTAGACGACGCAGCTGATAGGCCTCAGTCGCTTCGAGGACAATCCTTGCGAGATCTCTCTCTCTCTCTCTCTCTCTCCTCTTTTTCTCTCGCTCTTTCTCTCTCTCCTCGTCGCCGTTTATATAGGTGATGATTGCGCGGTCCTAACCGTAGCACAGGGCTCGGGCAACTGACAGCGGGTCAGAGCCGCGGCACACGGCGCCACGCCGCTCTCACAGCTGATCCGAGAGAGCCGATCGCCTCTACTCGCCTCTCTACCCTCTCTCTAACACGCGATTCTCAACCTCCGCCACTGTGCGACTCTCCCTGGGATTTACCGACGCCAATCGGAACACCGGCAAACTCCTCGTTCGATACGCCAGCGGTATGCCTTTGTCGTACCAGCCTACCTTTACCCCGTGAACTTGGCCAAAATGCGATTTTTCGAGTGCTCGACGACTCTTCTCTTCAATTTTTCCTTCAGTTGGACTATTCCGGTAGAGGAGACGCGATTATTCGAGCCTTGCACCCTCGTTTTTATAGTTAAAGCTAAAGTCGTAGTCATTTCTCCCTAATTCGCGCTCAGATCGCGCACGAAAATGGACGATTTGGGAAGAGGAGACGCGATTACTCGAGCCTTGCACCTTCGTTTTTATAGTTAAAGCTAAAGTCGTAGTCATTTCTCCCTAATTCGCGCTCAGATCGCGCACGAAAATGGACGATTTGGGAAGAGGAGACGCGATTAATCGAGCCTTGCACCCTCGTTTTTAGAGTTATAGTAATTTCTCGCTAATTCGCAGTCAGATCGCGCACGAAAATGGACGATTTGGGAAGAGAAGGCACGATTATTCGAGCCTTGCACCCTCGTTTTTAGAGTTACAGTAATTTTTCCCTAATTCGCGCTCAGATCGCGCACGAAAATGGGCGATTTCCGAAGAGGAGACGCAATTATTCAAGCCTTGCACCCTCGTTTTTAGAGTTAAAGTAATTTCTCCCTAATTCGCGCTCAGATCGCGCACAAAAATGGATGCTTTGCAAAGAGGAGACACAATTATTCGAGCCTTGCACCCTCGGTTTTATAGTTAACGATTTTTTAATTTTATAATTTTGTTAGTTCCTTTAGTTTCCATCCTTTATTTTTTATTTTTCTTGATTTCATAGTTTTACTAGGTTTTTTAACTTCTATCTTTTATTTCTTTTTAGTTTCATAGTTTTATTAGTTTTAGTTTTTATAGTTACCGAAGAAACAACGAGTCGCAAGGCTCGAATAGTCGTATCTCCTCTTCCCAAATTGTCCATTTTTTTTTGGACGCGAGGGTTGATTTTAAGCGTCGAACGAGAAAAATAATTTTAACCAGTTAGACGGAGAAAAACCTAACTATGCGTCGTGTCCGGCAGTAGGGTATTTCTTAGAGGCCCATTGTTGGTTTTCTACCATTTTTTGTTCCGCTTCAACTTGCCAAGTCAGCAAACAGGTTGCCAAGAAATCGAGACGCGGGGAAGGTGAAGCAAGGCCTCGGAAACTGTCATAATTCCTCTGACGAACACTGAATAATTTGTATATTTATTTATTTGTATATATTTTATTGTTTATTATATATTTATTATCATGGACATTTTTTTATTTTTATTTCATAGAGTGGCGTTGGATATGTTTTTTAATTGTATATCGATATTGTGGCGTCTCCCATGTTCGACAACAGATTTGTTCTAACGATATTTATTATTTATTCGACGATCTGAATACCATTTTAATGGAAAGGCGGCGTTGACAGTGTTGCGTAAAATTTTGAAAGTAAGATCATTTCATCACTTGAATTTAATAGTGTTAAAAATTCGAGTTAAATGTGTAGCTACGTTCGGAGCATCACGTTCTGCACACGCGATCCGAATACACAAATTTCGAGTGAGAGTTTTTACGAAAAATGGAAATTCCGGCACGACCAAAACGCATCGGAACGCAAAGGAAAACGAAACTGTATTACACAAAAATGGCCGGCGATCGAAAACATTTGACAATCGACTTTCTTCAACAACAATACATAATACTTAACAGAAAACTCCACCTTTAATTTCAACGGTAACTATTTTTGCTACCACGAATTCCAACCATAATAGGAGTATGCCAATCATTTCGTTTTGCAACCCCCGAAAAACTGGCCGACTTACTTAAATAAATAAAGTACAAAGTACAAATTCCATAAGAACATAAAACTAGTTATCTAACTCTTCTCATAAAACTGCTTGTAAAACTAGTATTAAATGAATTAATTATTTAAACTGATATTATTAAATTAAATAAAAAAAAATACTATATCAAATTAATTTAGATTATTAAACTAATATTAAATTGAACTGCTCATAAAACTAAATATTTAAAGTAATTACAGACTAGCGAGCACTGCTAAATCTACTCAGCAGACTGCTAAATCTACTAAAATCCGCTAAATCTCCTAAAATCTGCTAAATAAGTGCATTCGTCGGTCTCAGCATTTTCTAACGTAAAAGATCAATTAAATGAATGGCAAAAAGATTCTTGCGGCAACGATTAAGAATTAGTTCGAATAGCATGGGAAAGTCTGTTTTCTAGGCTTATACCTTTCGGTCACTCCTTTAACGACAAATCAAGCATAGTAACGATCTGATCGGCGTCGAGGCGCTTTTTTCCGGGGCACTAGTTCACCTCGTTTGTGCGCTAATGTTATGACCGTGATATTCAAGTCGAAGTTTTTGTTACCGTAGCACATTGTAAGAGAAAGTATTGCGAAACGCGTGTATTACACGCCGCGGAGCGTTGGTTTTAACCGTAATGATCAAATCACGTTAATGTCATTAATTTATCAAGCTCCTAATCAGCGTGGAACTGAAAGGAAAATCTGACATTGATGAATTAACATCTTCAGGACTGTTAGTATTGCTAATTCGCTACGTGTTAATAGAGCTCGTGCGAATGCTTTTTTTTTCTTTCGTTTAACCCATTGAAGCGAGCACGCTTATTAAATGCAGTTTGTTAACAGCATTTAAAAAGAAAAAAAACAATATTTTACTGAAAATCGAAGCAGTAATTATCGAGCTCTCTGTCTAACGATAAAATAAAGATATGAGTTCGTCCCTTACACAGTTAAATATATTTATAAATATATATATTTATAGTATATAATATATAATATATATATATATATTTATAGTATATAATATATAATATATAATATATATATATTTATAATATATTTATATTTATTTATAAATATATTTCGTGTTTAAACACTGAATTTAACACGCGTTTGCGTCTGAATAAAAATTGCGATCGGTCGGCAGTCATGAAAAGTCACTGCGCGCAGCGTTCCGTTGCGCACGGCGCGGCGTCGTTCCACATACGTTTGTTCCTTGCTGCGGTTTTACGAGCTCGCAAAAAGATATTCGTTCGTTAATTAGGTGGATAACGCTCGTTACCGTGATTCGAAGGTCACGAAGTAAACTGGCCGCTGCGACGCGGCTCGACTCGACGCGACTCGACGCTGGGTTTCTATAAAAATAAAACTGCCGCGCCTCCGACTTCGGGACATACCTCCCACGTGCTCTTAATGTCCGTCTTTTCGTGGTGCCCTTTCACGGTTCCGTAAGATCGAGCACCGGCGATTTGGCTGCGAATCAGCCGGCGAAACTTTGGAACGCTTCCAGGTTGGTCTCTTTTTCCTTGTCTACACGGCTCTCCATTATGCTTGATCGACGACAATTAATTGCGCGCGGAATATATTACGCGCGCAGATTTGCTACTTGAAAGCATCCGGACTTAATGAGCCAATATCGGCGGTGATCCTTCTTTTTGCAAGGTAATCGGCGAAATTACAGCCGGGTGAACGAAAACGTTATTATTAATCGGGCTCATTAAAGTCTGATGGGTGATCGATCGAATCTGCCGTGAAATCATTTCTCCTACAGTACGGAGCGTAGAAACTCCGCGGTTTTATTGATTCGGTCGTAACACAGTAACAACGCGGACTAGTCAATTGATTTATCAAATAGATAATTTCAACTCGACGAACGCAGCTCCACGTCTCCTACATACTTTCGTTATTCGATACGACAGCTTTTTGCATTATGCTGTTCCGCGTTGGACAGTTCCTTTGCAATTTCTTTCAATATCAACCCTCGAGCGGACCCCGTTTTTTCAACTTAACGCGGTCCTTCGTGTGTCAAATTGGCAATTGCGTTCCTTATTAATATTCCTTTAATATTTTTTTATTTTTATATCTATTATATTTGTATTTTGACAGCTTTTTGCATTATGCTGTTCTGCGGTGGACAGTTCGCTTGCAGTTCGTTGCAATTTCAACCCTCGTGCGTTCAACCCCCGTTTTTTCAACTTAACGCGGGCCTTCGTGTGTCAAATTGACAATTGCGTTCCTTATTAATATTCCTTTAATATTTTTATATTTTTATATCTATTATATTTGTATTTTGACAGCCTTTTGCATTATGCTGTTCTGCGGTGGACAGTTCCTTTGCAATTTCTTTCAATCTCAACCCTCGTGCGGCCACCGTTTTTTCATCTTAACGCGGTCCTTCGTGTGTCAAATTGACAATTGCGTTCCTTATTAATATTCCTTTAATATTTTTATATCTATTATATTTGTATTTTATATCTATATTTTAATACTTACTATTAATATCGATATTTTAAATTATTATTATTATTTATTTACTAATTCATTTTAGCTCTCTTCGTAACAAATACTGTAATATGTTTACGTTACACGTTTTTCATTGATAGTAACAGACACGCGTGCTTCGTGTTAATAAAAACAGAAGTCATATAAAGACCGAGATCAATTTCTTTCAAAACAGCGGTCTCGCTGTTTCAGTCTATAATTTTTGTTCTAACCGCTGGCAAACTCGAGACATAACCTGTCCCAATTGCTCGACTCGCCCTGCGCATGTTGTAACACGCGTATAATATCATAACGCGGCCATTTAATGCGCAGGGCGTAAAATCCTATTTAAATTACTCCGGTATTTCTCGAGCCGCCCGGAAGAAAAAAAAGAAAACAAATTTTTACGTCTCCAGACCGGTAACGTTAACGTTAAGACGCTATTGCACGTTTGCTCGCATTCTCCTGTCGTCTATGCTCTATATATTCGAACGGAGTAGGAAATAAAATGACTTGTCCCGCGACATTTCTGCAAACGAAAGTGCCGAAGCATTTGACGTAATTCATTATTTGCTCCCGATCATTCGTTACCTTTGAAATCGG